ATATACATATATATACATATATATACATATACATATATATACATATATATACATATACATATATATACATATACATATATATACATATACATATACATATACATATACATATATATACATACATATATATATATATATACATATACATACATATATATACATACATATACTTATACATACATACATATACTTATACATACATACATATATATATATATATATATATATATATATACATATATAAAAAACAGATTCCAAAAAATTTGGGACACTGAACAAATTGTGAATAAAAACTGAATGCAATGAAGTGGAGGTGCAAACATCTAATATTTTATTCAGAATAGAACACAAATCACAGATCAAAAGTTTAAACTGAGAGAATGTATCATTTTAAGGGAAAATTATGTTGTTTCCAAATTTCACGGATTTGCATCGAGCATTGTGTTTTACATTCTGATTGGCTAAACAGTCTCTCCAGTACAGTAGTTATTTGTAAAAAACGTTTATATATACTTTTATTTGTTAAACAAATGCTTGGGCCTGTAAAATGGTTTTGTTCTTTGGTTTGAATGTATTATGGAGTATTTCATTGTATAATAATTGTAAAAAAAAAAAAAAAGGTTACTACTTCACGGATTTCGCCTATCATGGGTTCTTTTTGGAACGTAACCCCAGTGAAAAACGAGGGTTCACTGTATTATGAATAAAATATTGACATTTGCCATCTCCACATCATTGCATTCAGTTTTTATTCACAATTTGTTTAGTGCCCCAACTTTTTTGGAATCTGGTTTGTAAACATAACGTCTCAGTGGCTTTTAAACCCCAAAATACATTACGGCAAAGACTGGTTCATCCCAAAGATCCAGTCCCCCGGCACAAATGGAGTAATATTGTGTATGTTGTTCAGTGTCAGGAGGGCTGTGATCAGTCTTACATTGGGGAAACTAAACAGCCATTGGCCAAAAGGATGGACCAGCACAGAAGAGCAACACCATTAGACCAGAACTCTGCGGTCTACACTCATCTCCAGGCCAGCGGTCACTCTTTCAGGGATGAAGATGTTCACATCCTGGACAGAGAGGAACGATGGTTTGAGAGAGGAGTAAAGGAGGCCATCTTTGTGAAACGAAACCATCCATCATAAAACAGGGGTGGTGGCCTCCGTGTTCAATTGTCCCCCTCTTACAGTGCTGTTATTGCTAGTATCACTCAGCCCCCTGTGAATAGTAAACAGCCATCAGTGTGCTAATGATCCATTGTTAGGCTGATGGTCCTCCTTGATCATGTGAGCAGCTGGTTTTGGTTGTCAGCAGCAAAACTGGTTGATCCACTCTGAGAAGGTGCTATTTATAAAACTGAGCTGAATACAGCTCCTCAGACTGAAGAAGTCTTTCGGATGAAAGATGAAACGTTTCTACAATTTTATGTTATTTTTTTACGGCCAGAAGACCAGATTTAACTTTTTTAGATCTGTAAGTGAGCTCATTTCACTGTGTTGACAAACGGCTGACGGAGGAAAACCTGCATCCTACTTTGTGTCTGGACTACAATAAACCACCGGAGAAGGGACGCTGGATCCTCAGAAGGATTGAAAACAGACGAGAATATCAGGTATGATGTCAAGTGTATGGAGGACACAGCTTTATTGTATTTGTTCGTCTTCAGTTTTATGATTTTCTCTGTAATTAATCCAAGCTGTGATGGAGGACTTTAAGTCTTTGGCTGGCTTTGTCCATCCATCCATACATTATCTTTTACCCGTTTCTTCCATTTTGGGTCACGGGGGTCGCCGGTGCCCATGTCCGGCAATCATTGTGCGAGGGGCGTGGTACACCCTGGACAGGTCGCAAGTCCATCACAGGTACACATAGAGACAAACGACCATTCACTCTCTCACTTAGGGACAATTTAGAGTTACCAATCAGTTTAACATGCATGTTTTTGGTCTGTGGGAGGAAACCGGAGTACCCGGAGAAAACCCATGCATGCACGTAGAGAACATGCAAACTCCACCCTGAAAGGCCCCCGGACCAGGTTTTGAACCAGGGACCTGCTCACTCAGAGGCAGCAGCTCTATCAGTTGTGCCACCGTGCTGCCCAGCTGGCTCCATGTCTGCTTTAATATAAATAAGATTGTGTCCCACCTCTTTTAACAAAACACCAACGACATTATTACTATGTAGATACTGATACACCTCTGAGCTTTTCAGGTTGTTCATCACTTCACTGTCGGAAGAACCGAGTCAATGAGGAAGCTAAATATGCTAGTAGATGTAGCTAAATATGCTAGTAGATGTAATCTGCAGCCACTTCTTCAAGTCCTCCATCCCTCGTCCTCAGCAGACAGTGGTATTATTATATTGTCCTGTTTGAGCTCAGACAAGTGGTGTTCCTAGGTTTAAATTAAATCCACAATGCTTGGAGAAACTATATTAGCACATACTGTTACACATAAATAAACACCGGTTCTGGGCCATGCTGGAAGTCATGCCTATAATTCGTGCAAGACACCATGGGGGCTAGGAATAAAATGGTTACCAACCTATTTTCCAGTCAAGTTTATTTTAATCTCTCTGTAAACGTGACATTTTACCACTTGAGGGCAGCACAAGGAAGCACCTTGAGCACTATGGTGTAACTAGAATTTTTTAAAAGTTGGAAATTAGGTAGCAAAACAAATAAATAATTGTATTTTTGTCTATTGCTGAATATTTTTCACACTTTCAGTGCAAGGCCAATTTCCACTGTCAGAGACAAAATATAAAAAGTCTTTAGACTCCTTAAACTTTTCCGTCCAGTATTATCATAAACTTCCAAAATATTTTACTGAGAATTTTTTTGATCAATCGAAACAAAATAGCACAAAATTATGAAGTTAAAGGAAAGGATACATAGTTTCCTGTATAAATCTGAAAAGTGTGGAATGCATTATAAACACCCCACCACACACACACACTTTGTTACTTCTAAATTCCAGTGCAACCACTGAAATCACCTTATTAGTAACTTTGTTATATTAATCTCAGTATGAAACTAGCTGGTCTGTGAAGGCCTCAGAGATTTTTGTTACAGAACGTTAGTGATCAAACAGTACTAAGAAGAGCAAGGAACAGATAATGTTGGTCATGGATAAAGTTTTTAAAGTTTAAAACAGGGTTGGGTTATAAAACAATCTCCCAAGATTTCAACATTTCACTGTTTCATCTACCATCTGAAACGTTTAAAGCACAACTGCATACCTACCAAGACATGGCTGCCACCTAAACTGGAAGATCAGGAAAAGAAAACAATCTGAGAAGCAGCCAAGAAGCCCCATGGTACCTCTGGAGGAGCTGCAGAGACCCACAGCTCAGCTAGGACAATCTGTCCAAAGAGCAACTATTACCAGATTTATGTACTCCACAAATCTGGCCTTTATGAAAGAATGTTAAGAAGAAAGTCTTTGTTGACAGAAGTCATAGTCAGGCATGTTTGCAGTTTGCCACAAACTATGTAAGGACACAGCAAACGTGGAAGAAGGTGCTCTGATTAAATCAGACCAAAGTTGAACTTTTGGGCCAAACTGCAAACCTAAAACTGCACATCATCCTGAACACACAAACCCCACAATAAAGCATGGTAGTGGCAGCTTCATATTTCTCATCTACTTCTTCATCTACTCCATTCTTCTGTTCTTTAGCAGGAATAGGGAAGCTAGTCAGAGCTGATGGGAACATGGATAGAGCTAAATGCTGAACAGAAAACCTGTTAGTGGCTGCAAAAGGTTTGAGACTGGGGCGTAGGTTCATCTTCCAGCAGAACAACAAACTAAAATATCCAGGCCGAGAGCTAAAAAAATGTTATGCTTCTTCAAGGCAGTGCAGAGAGACAGATCTTGTTGAGCAGCAGGAGCAATTTTATCCATGACCAGGAGCAATGGTGGAGCCAGGGTGTCACCAATGTTGGCCTTACCCACCATAAATTAATCTTTGGCCACTCCAATCATTTGAGGAAACTCTACTTTTAAGCAATAAAAAAACTAGAAAGTAGTGTGCTCAAATAATGTGTGTGGTTGGTTTACATACTGTATTATATATATATATATATATATATATATATATATATATAGTGTTGGCCATCTTGGATTTTGACGTGGCAACCCAATTTTCGATAGTGACCTTACGAATGCCTAGATGCAGCAACACTTCAAAATGGATGTCAGCACAGTGCTTAATTTTTTAAGTTGTAAAGCTTATAACACAATCAAACATTTATGGCAGCAGCCATCTTGGCTTCTGACATGGTAAACCCAATTTTTGAAAAGAAACTTTCTTACACCTAGATGTTGCCACACACAAAAATGGAAGTTGGTACCTCACCTATTTTTCAAGTTATCATGCTCACAACATTCATGGATGCACAGACAGAGGGTATTTCCATTTCCATCTCTTTGCTTCATGACACAAAGACTTGCAGCAGGAATTAGAGCTAAAGATGTTTCTACAGAGTTTTGACTGTGGGGCTAAATACAAGAGCCCATCACACATTTTTTAGATGCTTTGGTTTTTTTAACTTTTGAAAACCATGTATCATTTTCTTCCATCTTTACAAATATGCACTATTTTATGTTGGTCCATCACATAAAATCCTTGTAAAGTACTTTGAAGTTTATCGTTGTAAAGTGACAAAATATGAAAAGGTTCGAGGTATCTGAATGAATACTTTTTAAGGCCAGTTGAATTCAACAGGTATATCTAGGGTTGAAAAGGAAATTTTTAGCAGTAGAAGCCAAAATCCATCCATCCATCCAATATCTTTACCTGCTTCTTCCACTTTGGGTCACGGGGGTCGCCGGTGCCCATGTCCAGCAATCACTGTGCGAGGGGCGGGGTATACCCTGGATGGGTCTCCAGTCCATCACAGGGCCACATAGAGACAAACGAGACAAACAACCATTCACTCTCTCACTCACACCTAGGGACAATTTAGAGTTACCAATCAGCCTAACATGCATGTTTTTGGTCTGTGGGAGAAAACCGGAGTACCCAGAGAAAACCCACGCATGCACGGAGAGAACATGCAGACTCCACCCAGAAAGGCCCCTGGACCGGGGTTTGAACCAGGGACCTGCTCACTGAGAGGCAGCAGCTCTACCAGTTGTGCCACCATGCTGCCCAGAAGCCAAATTATGAAATAAAATGCCAATTAAGTAAAAATAATAAAAAATCTGATTTTAACAGCTCCAACAGTTTTCAGTAGAAATTGATCAGTTTTAGGATTTTAGCCTTTGCAGGACAGGGAAGTTGGAACATGTGAAAATTGAGAAAATACTGTTTTTTTAATACAGTATTGTTAAGTCATTTCAGACATATCCACTTAGTTAACTCACCATGTCTGTCAATGCAATGTACAGAAACATTCCTCCAGCTATGGCAAAAATTGCATTTGGAGCAAAGTTGCTCCCAAGCAGGATGCCTAACACAAGGCCAAGATAACACGACACTGATGACAGCAGGTTGAAGAAAATGGCCTGAGGAATGCTCATTCCAGCATTTAGCAGGATGACAAAGTCACCTACAGTGAGAGGGAAAGCACGGAGTTAATACAAGTACACTAAAAATGAGAATAAAAGCAGTGTTTGCCTTTTCTTTAACTTGAATCTCATGAAGCAGCTCTGTGAAGATGTGTGATTTAATTTTAATTAATGTGGTTTTACAGAAAGACTTTTCCAGAAATGTCAAATCTCTTTTCATATCCAAGATCCCAGATACAATATATATTATATGAGCTCATAGGAATCTGTGTTATTTGTTTGTTTGTTTGTATTTCATGGTAAAGACACAAGCGCATACTTTAAAAAATGTTTATTTATGGTGCAAAGTTGGATATTGTAATCAAATGCTGATTGTTAAGTTGATTTTGATGAAAATGCCAAGAAGGCCGCACTCAGCTGGGCTGCAGCTTCACAGGCTCCAGTGAAAACCCAGTTTTTGTTAGTTTTGGAAACGGCTCAGAGCCTGATTCTGCTCGCCTTAAGTGTGTGAATTATAGCTTCTTTTTTTATTCTGGGACCCTGTGTACAAAATTTCGTTCCACTTCATGTACCACATGTGGTGAAATGACAATAAACCTACTTGAACTTAATTACGCTGTGGCTTTTTTTTTTTTTTTTTAAGGATTTACAGGAAATATACATTTTTAACTTGCTTATATTTCCGTTTGGTGATTTTTTTTTTTTTCATTTACCCTTTATTTATACAGGTAGTCTCATTGAGCCACAAGAACTCATTTTCAAGAGAGACCTGTTTAGGGAGCAGATGGGGGTTAAGGGCCTTGCTCATGGGCCCAAGGTAGGGCGAATGAGGGTGGGGGCAAGCGTGGGTGCTTCACCTACCCCACCCACAATTTTGATGTTGTCGGGGCCAGGGCGTGAACCGGCGATCTTCGGATCACAGGCCCACCTCTCTAACCTCTGTGCCACCACTCCCCCATTCTGTTTTTTTAAAACTCTAGAACACGAAGAAACTCTCACTTGCACTTGCTGAATGACACATGTTTTAATAGCCCAAGTAAGATTAACACTTCCTGGTCCGAGCGGCAGCAGGACGAAAGCTCCCCGGCCTCTCTGCAGTCCTGTAACATCAAACTGACGATTCAAACTGGAATCAAAAGTTTGGTTCTTCTTCAAAGTGACTTCAGTGCTCAGTGGATGCAGAGAGCCGTACATAACCTCTGGGAATTTTGGGACTAGGACCAGAAACACTTCTAGCCTCATCGGTCATTCCGAGCATTGCTTGCTGGCCAGGTTGCCTCTCGAGTGGGGGAGATGTTTGAAGGTCCAGTGTTCCAACCGGATTTTTCATCCGGATCTTTTTGGATCACTTGGATTTGACCAGGACTGCTGTGTGGTTTCGTGTTGGCTTTCCGTAGGACCGGCTTTTTCCATGGGTGTCTTACTGCGGGGGAGCTGATCAGAGCTGGACCAGAACCGCACCAAGGAAGATTCCAACCTCAGCAGTTAGTCTGATTTCTGCTCGCCTGTGAGGAAGCCTCTTGTGCCGGGAGGCGCTGCTCGAATGATTGGCATTTTCATCAGAGTTTTTCTGATGTTCCATCTGCACTAGTCTGGATTAACTGGATCCATATGGGACCACCAGTTCGGAGCTGGTCAGCTGAAGGATCTGTTTCGGCTCACGCTGTTGGTCTCATCTGTTTTCTTCATTAAGCTCAGTTCGGACAGATCCTGAACCTGTGGAGGGCTTTACCCAAGCAGGTTTTTTTAATCCCCTGGAACAAAACTCTATGGACCCAAACAGAGCCAGAATCATGCCTTTCAGAATGAGCGGACACTCTGGTAGCTCGCTCTGTGCTTTGATATGGATTACCTTTCTGCTCTGCATGCTGGTTTTGCACCCAGCTTCAGATCAGCATGAGAGCTGCTGGAGCGTTTTGTCTGTTCCTCGGTGCTGTAGACTTCTTCAGCCCCACTCAAACTACAGTCGGTCTGTGATGACAGGCCCGTTGGTCCACTCAAATCTAGTGGTTGTCTGGTTTGAAATCCCTTGGCTCTATTCACGTGTGGGGGTCCAGAATTCTGTGGAACTGAAGATTATTCATCCCCATCCTCATAATTTTCAGAACTTTGTCTATTTGGAGTCGTTGAATCATGTTAACACATCTGGATTTGCCCATCCGTGCCAACTTCACTGCCTTTGGGTTCTAAGTAACCATGTCTTTATAAATTCTTCTCACCACGGATCGATTATGGGGCCAAGTGCCACAATATTAACTCTTATAACTACACATCTGCTACAAAAAACACAAGGAAATGTCTAATAGTAATGTCGTTACTGTTGTCCAGGATACAACCTAATCCTGGACCTCCCGCACATTACAGCACACAAAAAGGTTTTAAAAACATGTCAGGACTACACTTTTGCACATTAACACACGTAGCCTTCTTCATAACAAGTGTTTTGAACATGGACACAAAACAAAAAAGTGTTCCTGTGAAAAGTGGTATAGTTTCCATCATCTACCTACAGATGAGGAATTAAGAAAAATGTGTCTGAAAAATGTGAACTTGAAGAGACCACCCAAAAACTGTATGTGAGCTCATTTCACTTTGTTGACAAATGGCCGATGGAGGAAAACCTGCATCCTACTTTGTGTCTGGACTACAATAAACCACAGGAGTAGAGACGCCGGATCCTCAGAAGAATTGAAAACAGTGACGAGAATATCAGGTATGATTTCAAGTGTATGGAGGACACAGCATTATAGTATTTGTTCATCTACAGTATTACGATTTTCTCTGTAATTAACCCAAGCTCAGTGATGGAGGACTTAAGGCTTTGGCTGGGCTCTGTGTCTGCTTTAAGGTAAATAAGATTGTGTCCCACCTCTTTTAACAAAACACAACCGACATTATTAAAGATACTAATACACCTCAGCGCTTTTCAGGTTGTTCATCGCTTCACTGTCAGAAGAACCGAGTCAATGAAATAGCTAAATATGCTAGTATAAGTAGCTAAACATGCTAGTAGATGTAATCTGCAGCCACTCCTTCAGGTCGTCCTCCATCCCTCATCCTCATCAGACAATGGTATGATTATATTGTCCTGTTTGAGCTCTGACAGGTGGTGTTCCTACATGTTTAAATTAAATCTACAATGCTCGGAGAAACTACATTAACTTGTACTGTTCACACATAATATCTCAGCTGTAACCCCAAATATCAAATGAGTTGAAAAGAAGGTGCCGTAGATGCATTCCTGTCTCCTTGCCAGCTGTGTTTGAGTGCCTGACCACTGAGATCCTGAAAATGGCAGGAAGCACAGCTCGTGACAGCAGAAGAACTGGGATCATCTCCCGGCACCTACAGCTGGCTGTCTGCAGCAACGAGGAGCTTGGCAGGCTGCTGAGAGGAGTGGCCATCGTTCTGGGAGGACTTCTGCCTGGCATTTGGGCAGTCCTGTAGCCCGGAGGAACAAAGAGGTCAGCCGAATCCGAGTGGATGAATCGGACAGCATCATCATTCACCACTTGCTCTTGCCGAGATCGGATGCTTCTCCCCTCCCTCTCCGCTTTGCTTTGTTGCTCAGTCTGTCTGTGAAACTGCTTGTGAGACTATCTTGCATATCTTTCGAACCATAATTATGGACTTTTTGATCAGTTGGTCCCTCAACTCAATTTACAACATTTCTTCGAAGATAAGACAAGCTTTAGGCAAGCCGATTTGCCCTGTTGGCACGCACGCAGCTCATTGACTTGGAAGACTTGATGATGTGTCTATCTCTGCTGTCATTTGTGGATTTTAAGTATGCATATTTAATTGGATTTTTGATAACTGGTTCCTGCTTTTTGGATTCGGCTGGTTACTGGTTTTATCAATCAATCAAGGAAGTCGTCGGCAGCAAATTGGGACCCGATCACACTGCTTGCCTTTATGATGGCTTGGCTCGTGTCTCGAGTACTCAGACTCAAATGCTTTGGGCAGAATGGATCAGATCTTAGGGATTTTACTCAGTCACGTACCATTGGTGGGGCCATGTATTTTGGACATTTCGGAACTGAGTGGACCAACACAGACTCAAGGGAGATGTCATTAAAGTTCTGCCTGTCCCAAAACAACTGTGTGTTTATCTGAATTTGGCTCCCTTGGCTGGCCTTGAAGGACATCTTATCTGAATTCACCTGGAGAACATGTGATCTGACGCTCACCACACCCTCCCCGAGGAATTTCCAACTGATAACCAGATGAAACCAGCTGAATAAACTTTGTCATCATTTCAGGACTCTTGGATTCTCATAGACGTTATTCTTGGCCATTCCTCGACATACCTCGAGAATGTTTATGGATCTCACCGGAGGACATTGGCTGATTATTCCATCCTTATCAGAACTCTTACAGTGACCTCGAGAGCATCTATGAACATGCTCACTGCTCTTGGCTCCCCCCTCTGCAGAATGTCTATGTCACTATGTGCTTGTTTATGCAAGGTGTTTTATTAATATTAGTTTTTTTTTTCCTCAGGCAGGAAAAAAAAGTCATAGGAATTTTTTCACCTCCAACTCCTACATGTGTCCATTTTACCACTTTTGTGTCTGTCCAAACAGGTCTCACTTGTAAATGAGTCTTTTAGGCTCAATGTGATTTATCTGTTTAAATAAAGGTTGAATGAATCTGCGGCCAGTTTCTTCGGATCTGCTGTGGGACTGATTTACAAGAGATCCTTCCTGCCTAAAGCCATCAGTATCTATAACAGCTCTTAATGAAACGAGGATAATGAGTAACAACGACATTTAATTTCCCTTTAAGATTAATGAAGTATTTTTAGTTGAATTGAATTTGAATAAACAAATGCAAGTTGTGGGCCATGCCAGAAATTGCACCCATAATTCACGCAAGGTGCCATTGGGGCTAGGAATAAGTTGGATAGTTAAAATTTCTCTCACAAGCAGAGAAGGCTTGACTACGCTATTTTCAGTCTTTGCAGAGAGTGGTGAAGGCTGCACTGAAGTCTGTTGGAGTCAGCCTCCCCACCATCACAGACATAAACACCTCTAGATGGAGGAAGAGGGCCACCTGCATCATGAAGGACCCCACTCACCCAGCACACACACTTTTTGCCCCGCTCCCCTCAGGAAGGAGGATAAGGAGCATTAAGTGTAGAACCACTAGACTGAGGAACAGCTTCTACCCTGAGGCTGTTAGACTCATGAATCTCTAACCAGAATAATCACTGTGAAAAATCACATCAAGCTACTGATCTGTTTCATGCTGCTGCTGATCTGTTTCATGCTGCTCTGTTCATTCGTACTCATCTGATCACACAGACCCATGTTTGTGCTGCTGTTTGGCATATTGTTTTTATGCTACTAGTTCTTAGCATATTTTTAGTTTATGTTTTTCTTCGTTCATAGCTTAGATCTTATTACTGTTTTTCTTTTACCTTTTATTGTTGGATGTAACTGGGTCCCTGTGTACAAAATTTCGTTCCACCACATGTACCACATGTGGTGCGAATGACAAAGAAACTCCGACTCTATTGACTCTTCATGGGGAAAAAACAAATGCTGTCATTTTGATCATGGAAAACAATTAGAAAAAAAGATTTGGGTTTGTAATTGATGTTTGGCTTATGAAGGATAGTCTTAAAGTCTTGCACAAAATGATAAAAGTGGTGGGTTAATTTTCTGTACTTCTCACTAACCCAGCTCATGGGGAAACTCCTCACAGACAATGGCGGTGGACGTACTGAACCCCGTCAGTATTGACACTGTAAAAGACGCACCGATGGCCAGACCATCAATGAAGTTGTGCAGTGCGTCGCTGAGGGTTATCATCCACGCCACTGTCTTGATGCTGGTGATGCGCTGGCCACAAAGCCAGTGACACGTTACACCTGACAGCTGGACATCCTGGAAAAGTGACAGGACAAGTTAAAGGCAAAACAGCCTCTGATATTACTAACTTTAATCACGTCAAAACAAACATGAGTTTGGTAACATGGCTAAGCACAATTTAGCTAAAGGACCGGCAGGATTATTGAAAAAGGCATAAAAAAGTATGTTATGGATTTAGTGGGTATTCATTTTGTGTGCATTAACTTTTGAAGTCAACCCACTTGTAGGGGGCTGCCACTGCCAATCAACTAACATTAGCCAACACAAAAAAGGCTGTAATTGACAGTTTTACAAATAGATAAAAAAAATTTATGTGACAGTATCTTAGAGTCATTCACATCACATAATCTAGCGTGACATCTTGTTATATCATGATATTGCACATTTTAAAGATTTGACCAAAGAAAGCTACAACTGTTACTTAAAACTCTGCCATGAAAGGCAGTGTGGCTAAAAGATTTTTGTCAAGGAATGTTTGGCATTTAGTCTTCAGTGAGCACAAATGTCTGGAGAAAATGTAAACAATTTTCAATATTTGCTCAAATATGATGGTCTGACCAAATGCACATGTTGATAGCATGACTTAAAAAACATGATGTTCACAACATGTAACAAATACTGATTCAGCAGCAAATATGTTCTCTAAAATAACTAAATACTTATGCAACATTTTTTACTTTACCAACATTATGGATCAAGTGGGGTTAACAGGAAATCTGAGAACAGGCAGACACAAACAGAGCTCTTGGCATTTAGTTGGAGTCGCTCTGATGAGACAAAATGGAGCTTTTACAAACCCTGAACAAACAAGGAGTCTTTGTGTCCACGTCCGACAATGCCAGCATTTATCATGAAGAGAAGGGAGGCCAGCAGCTTAATTTTACTGCACGACCTCTCTGTATCATCAGCATGTCTGTTTGTATAACATTTTAGACTTTTCTAACCAGACAACATGACAATAGTAATGCTGAATATTAACTGAATTTCTGATCTGCTTCATAAGCAATAAAAATCCTTGTGGATTAACAGCCTGACACCATACATACCAGAACTAAAATCATCTTGTAATGAAAAAGGACAAAGTTATAGATGTTTTGGTCAAATCCAGTAAAAGTACAATCTCGTGATGTAGAATCATGAGGGATTTTTTGTGAATAATGGTTTAGGAGGTCTCTCAGCTACTATCACATCAAACTTTAGCCTATTATCTGTTAATTTGACTGGAGCATAACTGTTTTTGTAGCCTAGTGTTGATTAGTTGTAGCAGGACCTTCATTAAATAATTCTTAAAAGTATCATTAAAATCTGTCTAGTGGTTTATGAGACAAAGTTTACTCCTAACAGTAAAGGAAGACTACTTACTACTACTATCACTATCCAGACTACTAGTGTAGCTAGCGTAATCTTTTAGCACTCACAATATGTCTTGGGGATCAGTCTCAGCTACTCCCACACCAAATTATTTCTTTACTGCATCTCCATATTCTACCACTTATCCATAGTTGGGTCATTGGGTCATGGAGGCAACAGGTCCAAAAGAGAAACCAAGATATCCCTCTCACCAGCAACACTCTTTAACTCCTCCTAGGGGGCTCTAAGGCATTCCCAGGCCAGAGAAAATACTGTATATAATCTCTCCAGTGAGTTCTGGGTTTGCGCTAGGGTCTCTACCCAGAGGGACATGCCCAAAAAAACTCCAAACGGAGGCATCCTAATGAGATGTCTGAACTATCTCAACAGACTCCTTTCAATAGGAAGGAGCAATGGCTCTGCTTTGAACCCCACCCCCCAGATAATGGAGCTCTTCATTCTTTCTCCTCACTACAGCTGTGTCTTGAGATATTGTCCATGAACACCACAAAAAGGATTGGAGGCAAGGGACAGCCCTGGTGGAGTCCAACCTAAATCGAAAATGAGCTTGACTTTGTGCCAAGAATGTGAACACAGCTCCTGATTTAGTTATACAAGGACTGGACAGTTCTTAAAAGCAATCCTGGCACCCCATGTTCCTGCAGAATCCTCACAGAACACCATCAGGAGTCTTCTCCAGGTCTACAAAACCCATGTAGACTCATGGCTCATAATCCCCGAGCAACCCTGATCATGAGCCCTGGGCATAAGTAAAGGTCTGGTCCACTGTTCCACAACCAGAATAAAAGGCACACTGCTCCTCCTGAATCTGAGGTTCGACAATCACTTGAAGCCTTCCTTCCAACATCCCGGAGTACAATTTCCCAAGAAGGCTGAAAACTGATTCCATGATAGTTACTATCACTATCCAGTCTCCCTTTTCAAAAATGGTAACCATTACCCATTTGACATTTGAATGAAATGAAGACTTGAAGACTTCCGGTAAGATGGCGCCTGTGTACATGGTTTGCAATCCATCTCTGCTGATGGTGTTCGGATTATTTGTGTTTTGTTCATTTTTTATCTGGGACATAAACTCGCTGCTGGTGTATGACCGACAACAGCTTCTGGATCTTCGTTTTTCTGCCGCCGATGTCGCTTATTTGGACCAATATGAGCGTACCTCTGGACCACCCGCCCTACCCCCTGCTGGCGAACATGCCAGTTTACCTCTGCTGCGCTCCTCACCTGCCTGCCCGGAGACATCGCTACAGACGCAGGAGAAAATGTGCTGGGCGGCTGGTAAAGCTTAAAGCCCTGCGCGCTGCATCTTCCTCTTCAGCTGGTGATCAGGGTTTCCATCGCCAGCTTCCCACGTGCCCGGACCAGGTAAACAACGGAGGGGCTGTTATTGAAAACCTGCGGCCATAGGCACGCACTAACTTCACCGCTGCTGGCTCCACTTTGAATAGTATCCGGATGCGTTTGGTCAACGCAAGATCTATTACCAACAAAACTTTTATCCTCAGGGACTACTTTCAAGAGCATGATTTGGACATTTTCTGCATCACAGAGACTTGGATGTCTCCGGGTGAGTCCAGCGCCTTGATGGAATTATTGCCACCAAACTGTCTGTATTTTAACGCACCGCAGCCATCAGGCTGGCGCGGTGGTGGATTATTAACAATATTCAAATCAACTTTTGACTGGAAACAACTGCCCATCCCAGTTTCCCGCGCCAGCTTTGAGCTGAGCGTCTTTGAACTCGGCCATTAGCCTTCGACTTTATGCACACTTGTCTACTGCCCACCTCGGTCTATCCATCCATCCATTTTCTTTTGCTTATCCGGGGTCGGGTCGCGGGGGTAGCAGCCTAAGTAGGGAGGCCCAGACTTCCCTCTCCCCAGCCACTTAGTCCAGCTCCTCCGGGGGGAATCCCGAGGCGTTCCCAGGCCAGCTGAGAAACATAGTCCCTCCAGCGTGTCCTGGGTCTTCCTCCGGGCCTCCTCCCGATGGGACGTGCCTGGAACACCTCACCAGGGAGGCGTCCAGGAGGCATCCTAAACAGATGCCCAAGCCGCCTCAACTGGCTCCTCTCGACGTGGAGAAGCAGCGGCTCTACTCTGAGTCCCTCCCGGATGATTGTGCTTCTCACCCTATCTCTAAGGGAGAGCCCAGACACCCTGCGGAGAAAACTCATTTCGGCCGCTTGTATCCAAGATCTCGTTCTTTCGGTCACAACCCAAAGCTCATGACCATAGATGAGGGTAGGAACGTAGATCGATTGGTAAATTGAGAGCTTCGCCTTTTGACTCAGCTCTCTCTTCACCACGATAGACCTGTACAGCACCTGCTTCACTGCAGACGCTGCACCTATCCGCCTATCAATCTCATGTTCCATTTTTCCCTCATTTGTGAACAAGACCCCAAGATACTTGAACTCTTCCACTTGGGGTAGGACCTCCTCCCTGACCCGGAGAGGGCACTCTACCCTTTTCCGGCTCAAGACCATGGCCCCGGATTTGGAGGAACTGAACTTTATCCCGGCCGCGTCACACTCGGCTGCAAACCGTTCCAGCGAAAGCTGTAGATCACGATCTGATGAAGCCAATAGGACCACGTCATCTGCAAAAAGCTGAGACACAATCAAAACAGATCCCCTCAACGCCTTGGCTGCGACTAGAATTTCTGTCCATAAAAGTTATGAACAGAATCGGTGACAAACGGCAACCTTGGTGGAGTCCAACTCTCACTGGGAACAAGCCCGACTTACTGCCGGCAATGCGGACCAGGCTCTGACACCGGTCATACAGGGACCTAACAGACCGTACCTCGGGCTGTTAGGTCCGAGGTTAGCACCTCGGTCTAAGGATTTCATAAATGAGTTTTCTGATTTCTTGGCTGAAATCACACCAAAATATAATCATGTTTTCATTATTGGGGACTTTAATTTGCACGTGTGCTGTCCTGAAAAGCCCTTGGTTAAGGACTTTGTAGATTTATTGGACTCATTTACTCTAAAGCCCCCAGTATACTGCTGCGTACGTCCATACGCAGAGGTACGCACATACGTACGTGGAGGTTTGAGCGTACCCCCCCAGGGTATGTCCATGCAAAGCTCAATTTTTACGACCGCATACGTGTACGCGGTGTCGCACAATAAACTGCCCGGCGACGGACTGTTTTGTATGTGACACCAATGTATTAAATTCCCCTTCTTCATCCCTGATCTGGCCTTTTCTTTTGTTTTTTGGCCAAGAGGCAAGTGATCTCTTCCTCCTCCGTTGATGCCATGACTGAAATGGTGAGAAATGAAGGAATTTGTCATGAGCGAATTGAACTCAGGTCTAGCGTGGCTGCGGGAGGGTCTGGAGATTTCCTAGGGGGTTGGTCTGATGTGTGGGCTGCAGAGCTAGCGCTCCCCGTTTTTTATTAGATCTTTTTATTAACAACATATAAACGCAGAACACCGCTGTGGCTGAGGCTGCCAGCGCTCGGTTTTTTTCCCCGACCTGTCAATCAATCCAGTAGGCGTGTCAGCAAATGACCAATCGGCGACCTCAATTTGTCCCAAAGGTAAATGCCCTTTGTCTGTAAAGCTGCTCTGCAGCTGCTCAGGGTGTACGCTGGAGTACGAAGTCTGAACCCTCTGTGTACAGTACATGCGTACGTACGCAGCAGTATACTGGAAGCTTAATGCAGCATGTAAACGGTCCCACCCAAGAGCGCGGACATACACTGGACCTTGTTTTAACACGTGATATGTCTGTTAGTAAACTTGAAATTGGTGATAATGTTTTTTCAGACCACATGCCAGTCCGGTTTGAATTCACCCTCCCCCATCTAACTCCTAAGCCGTGCATTCTTGCATGTAGTAGCCTGGCCATTAACCACTTCACTGCTGCACGTTTCCAGATTCTTATAACTCTGAAATGATCATTCAGCCCCCGGTGTTTCTCACCACCACTGAAGAGCTGACATCCCAGTTCAACAATGTCTGCTTAAAGACTATGGATCATGTCGCTCCTGTTAAAACTAGAAAATCAAAACTCAGAGCAGAACCTTGGCTGAGTGACGTCACCAAGGCCGTTAGGCAGCAGTGCAGGAGGGCGGAGCGCAAATGGAGGAAAGACAGGCTGCAGGTCTCTTTTCAAATACTTAGAGAGTTGGCGCCGTTGTCAGAAAGCAGTAAAAGCTGCTAAATCCAAATACTTTTCTGATATCATAACCTCAAACTCTCACAACCCACGTGTCCTCTTCTCTACCCTAAACTCTGTTCTCCACCTCACTGAACCATCACCTCTGGAAACCTCGACTGAGCTGTGCGACAACTTCTTACATTTCTTTTTGGAAAAAATTGCGACCACCAGGGCTCTCATTTCCCCTCCAACTCATGACTCATCCATCCCACCTCAATCTGTAGCTCTATTTGACCATTTTGAACCCATCACTCTATCTTCTCTAGAGCAGGTCATGTGCAGCTTGAAACCTTCTGGTTCCCCCTTTGATGTGGTCCCCCCTCGACTACTAAAGGAGGTTTTTCCTACTCTAGGTCCATCCATTCTTGATATAGTAAACAGTAGTTTATCCACTGGCGTGGTGCAAAAAACCTTTAAACATGCTGCTGTCCAGCCTCTCCTGAAAAAAACAAACTTTGACCCCTCAGTCGTTTCCAAATTCTGGCTTGTCTCCAAACTCCCTTTTGTTTCTAAAATACAGGAGAAAACAGTTGAGTCCCAGTTGAAGTGCTTCTTGGAAGATCACACCATCTTAGAGCTATTCAAATCTGGCTTTAAACCTCTCAACAGCACTGAAACTGCCATATTGAAGGTTTTTAATGACATATTCAGATCCACAGATATTGGTGATTCTGTGCTGCTTGTCCTGTTGGACCTCACAGCCACCTTTGACATCATCGACCATGAGATCCTCATTGCTAGGTTGGAGCAATGGGTGGGCATCACAGGGTCAGCACTCAATTGGTTCAGATCCTACCTCACTGACAGATCCTTTTGTGTCTCCATCAAGGATTTTAGTTCTGCAGCAACAGAGCTTAAATGGGGGGTTCCGCAGTGGTCCAGCCTGGGTCCCCTCCTATTCTCTCTACACCTGCTGCCACTTGGTGCTTTTTTCCGGAAACACAACATAACCTTTCACTTCTATACCAATTACTGTCAAATTTACTTCCCCCTAAGACACAATGGTACATGCCCTATTCAACCTCTGCTCGACTGCCTGGCTGAAATCAGGGACTGGATGGCTTTAAATTTCTTAAGTTGCGATGAAAAGAAGTCTGAAGTCATGTTGTTCCCTCCCAACGACACAATCACAAACCACTGCATTGACATTTACGCTCTAACCCTGTCAGAAAAACAGAGTCACTAATCTGTGAGTGATAATGGACCCTTCCCTGAAACTTAACAGTCATGTAAACATGATTGTTAAATCATGTTTCTTCCAACTGAGGTGGCTGTCTAAGCTGAAGCCCATATTGTCCAAAACTAACCTGGAGACAGTAATACATGCATTCATTACATTTTTTTTTTCATTTAGCCTTTATTAATCCAGGTAGTCTCATTGAGCCACGAGAACTCATTTTCAAGAGAGACCTGTTTATGGAGCAGATGGTGGGGGTTATGGGCCTTGCTCAGGGGTCCAGGGTGGGGCGAATGCGGGTGGAGGGAGGTGTGGGTGTTTCACCTTTTCCACCCACATTTTTTTTTATGTTGACGGTACCGGGAGGGGGCAGCACGGTGGCGCAACTGGTAGAGCTGCTGCCTCTCAGCAAGCAGGTCCTTGGTTCAAAACCCGGTCCAGGGGCCTTTCTGGGTGGAGTTTGCATGTTCTCTCCGTGCATGCGTGGGTTTTCTCCGGGTACTCCGGTTTCCTCCCACAGTCCAAAAACATGCATGTTAGGCTGATTGGTAACTCTAAATTGTCCCTAGGCGTGAGTGAGAGAGTGAATGGTTGTTTGTCTCGTTTGTCTCTATGTGTCCCTGTGATGGACTGGAGACCTGTCCAGGGTGTACCCCGCCCCTCGCACAGTGATTGCTGGACATGGGCACCAGCGAACCCCGTGACCCAAAATGGAATAAGCGGGTAAAGAAAATGGATGGATGGATGGATGGGTACCGGGAGGTGAACCTGCGACTTTCCGATCACAAGCCCATCTTCTAACCTCTGTGCCACCACTCCCCCATCTAGGCTTGATTACTGCAATTCACTCCTGTTTAGTATCAGTCAGACCCCCATTGCACGACTACAACTGGTCCAGAATGCAGCAGCCTGATTTTTAACCAGTACAGGCAAAAGAGAGCACATTACACCAGTTTTGGCCTCACCGCATTGGCTACCGGTTCACCTTCGAATCCAGTTCAAAATACTCCTGTATGTCTACAAATCGCTGAACAGGCCCCCCCCCCCCCCCCCATATCTCTGATCTACAACCATATGTTCCACCACGCTCCCTGAGGTCAGCGGACCAGTTGCTCTTCAAAGTTCCAGGAACTCGTCTTAAGCGCAGAGGTGACAGGGCCTTCTCTGCAGCAGGACCAAGACTTTGGAACGAGTTACCTCTGCTTATCAGACTGGCCCCCTCCCTTTCGGTTTTCAAATCCCGTTTAAAAACCCACTACTATTCAGTAGCTTTCAACACCAGAGGATCTGTGTTGTGAACTTGTACGCTCCACACTGGTTTGTCGTCTTATTTATTATCTGCATCGTTTTTATGTCTATATTTTTTATTTACTTCATTTTGTATATTGCTTCGTCTGTTGTCTGTTGTTCTGTCTGTACAGCACTTTGGTTGGCCTTGTAGCTGTTTTAAGTGCTCTATAAATAAAATGGTATGGTATTGTATGGTACCCCAGTTTGCCACTCCAAAGGCCTCCATGCAACACTGAAAAGACGAGTGAAATGACAACCTACAACCTTGGTGTGTCAGAATAAATGTTTAGGATGTCTCTCAGCTACTATCACATCAAACTTTAGCCTATAATCTGATAATTTGACTAGTGGTTCAGCATCTCAGAGCAAATCACATCCACCCCTAACACTCTTCCAGCAGGGAGCTTTTTGAATAACCTGGGGACATCTGCCATGGTAATGGACTTGTCTTTTCTCAAGTCCTCAGACTCTGCCTCCACAAAGATGGACATGGTGGACAGATTACGGAAATCCCCAAAGTGCTCCTTCTACCGCTCAACAATACTCCCAGTCCAGGACAGCAGTTCCCCACCCAAACCAAGCACAGTTGTGAAGGAGCCTGCTTTCCTTTTCTGAGTTGCTCAACAGTTTGCCAGAAACTCCTTAATGCCACCCGAAAATCCTTCTTCATGGCCTCCCTGATCTTTTTCATCTGCAACCACAAAAGCTGCAGTCCTTCTGGTCACCCTGTACCTGTCAGTTGCTTCAGGTGTCCTCCATGAAAGCCAAGTCCTAAAACCACCTTCTTTGGCTTTATGACCTTCATCAACACTGAGGTCCACCAGTGGATCCTTTGGTTGACACCATGGCAGGTACCAATGAGCTTCAGACCACAACTCCTGAAAGTCACATCTGCAATAGAAGCTCTGAATGTGGCACATTCAAGTTCAATGTCCTCATCCTCCCAGCAGACATGAGAAAAATTCTCACAGTGCGAGTTGAAGATTGCACAGACAGGGGGCTCCACCAAAAATTCCCAGTTCACCCTTACTATACATTTGAGTTTATTAGGTCTGTTCAGCAGCCCCCTGCCACATGGCCTAACTCCCCACCAGGTGGTAGTCAATTGACTGTTCTGCCCTCTCTTCACCCAAGTGTCCAAGACACATGATTGTTCATTAGAATTTATCCAGTGGTTCATGAGATATATTGATAACACAGAGATAAACAAACATAAAAACATTATCATCTGCTATGAGCTTTTGAATGATAATTACATCAACATTAGTACTATACACAAAGAGTAAATCAGGTTTTCAGTTTACTGCCTAATTGATTAGTTTATCTAAAAAACAAAAGAGAGATTTTGAATGCAAAACAATACCTGAGATGGTGACACATTTGTATGAGGGGGCTCAGAGTTCAGGCTGCTTTTATCAGAGGTGATTGTGGAAATGCTGGTCAAAACTATAGAGTCCTTTGTACCCCACATGTCTCCATTATGAACATAGTTTTCCTGAGATGGCTCAGCAGGAGTGAAGTGGCTGTGGCCATGCTTGAAAAATAGACAGAAACATCAAATTAGAGATTCTTCAATGTACTCAAAAAAGATTCTTCCCAAATCAGATTTTTTTTTTTCATTACACAAGAGAATCACTGTTAAATATTAAATGTTTCTACTATGAACTGTTCTACCTCATTTGTTATGAAAGAAAAACTAAATGTTTAACAAAGTGTACAAATCAGGTAAAATAAAAATTAAAAACAATTATTTTACTTGGTACAAAATTACCATAAAACTTTCCTAAAACTTGGTCAAGATGTAAAGCATAAACAAAAAAGGGATCTATTATCTAAATCTGGTAGAATTCAAAATCTTACTTCTTACATACAAAGCTCTCAACAACCTAGCTCCATCTTATATTACAGATCTTATTGTTCCATACTTTCCTAACAGAGCACTTCACTCTCAGACTGCAGGCTTACTTGCTGTTCCTATAGTTTCCAAAAGCGGAATGGGAGGCAGAGCTTTCAGTTATCAGGCTCCTCTCTTGTGGAACCAACTTCCAGTTTCTGTTTGTGAGGCTGACACATTGTCTACTTTAAGATTGGGCTTAAAGTCTTTCATTTTTGATAAATCCTATAGTTAGGGTTGGCTTGAGTTTCCTGAGCTATCCCTTAGTTTTGCTACGATAGGCTTAGACTGCTGGAGAATAAACTGACACACATTTCTTCACTCTGCTGCCGTCTTAACTTGCTCTACCCTACCTGTTTGTATTTGTAATTATTACTATCTTTAACATGTTTTTTTGTCTTTCTTCCAATGGGGGTACACCTGGACCTGTCATTCTGCGTTCATTTGTTTCTCCTTCCTGTCCTCTCAAAGCCAGCCGTCGAAGCAGATGGCCGCTTGTCCTGATCCCGGTTCTGCTGGTGGTTTCTTCCTGTTAAAGGGAGTTTTTCCTTTCCACCGTCTCCTTTGTGCTTGCTCAGAATGGAAGACTTTGATGAAGTGAAGATTCAATGTTTCTGCTGGCTTCCTTAGATAAAGAACTTTTACTAATTGGCCTTTTTTATGTATGTGAATGTTTTTGTACAGTTGAGCATGGACTTTGGTGTTTTGAAGCAGTTTGACATGACCGTCGACAAGGGAGAGTGCGGGCTCTGGAGGAGAGGGCATGGCACCAACATTACTGGGGTTTTTTTCCACTTTGGAGTAAGCTGATGGGGGAGAAGCAGTTTTGTGTGGTGTTTCCTCAGACTGATGAAGCCTTCTGGATGGAGGGCAAAATGTCTCAGCACAAAAAAGAAACCGTCCAGATGACCTGACTGAAAATTGTTGTTTTTTGTATAGTGCTTTGAGACAGCTTCTGTTGTGACTTGGCGCTATGTAAACTGAATTGAAACTGAATCTATTTTTTTGTTGTTTGTTTATTAATACAAACAACCTAATATCAGTGATAAAACTGTCAGGTGTGTGTTAGGTAGAACATAGGCAGGAGAAAAAAAAGGACAGGAAAGGCTATTTTCACAGTCCCATTTAAGGAATGGACTACTTTTGAGATTAAACACAACTGAGTTCGACGCAGATGCTGTGTTATTTAATGTAACATGAGCAGAGTCTTGTCAGACGAATTGTTTCAATGCAATGTAAAAGAAAATGTGAAGAGCGTCTCCTGGAGAGCTGTATAAAAACAATCAGATATCAAAGTTCATGCTCAATAAGCCGGGTAAAAAAAATCTAACAAAGTTAAATCAGGTCCTCTAGATGGTTTCTTTTTATTGAAATGTTTCGTCTTTCATCCAAAAGACTTCTGATGACGTTTTACTTTCATCAGAGAACATAACTTTGGACCACTCAGCAGTAGTCCCAGGCAAGATGCTTCTGACGCTGTCTCTTGTTCAAGAGTGGCTTGACACAAGGAATGTGACAGCTGAAACCCTTGTCTTGCATATGTCTGTGCGTGGTGGTTCTTGAAGCACTTTGTGGAACCCCCCCAAAAAAAAACAAAAAAAAAAAACACACACAGCTGTGGCTGAGTGGTTAGAGCAGTCGTCCTTCAATGCAAGAGTTGGGGGTTCGAATCCACCAGCAGTCACATGCCGAAGTGGCTCTGGGTAGGACACTGAACCCCTCATTGCCTCCGATGTGTGTCCCATCAATGTATGAATGTGATCTAAAGCACTGATTAGTCTCTTTATAATTATTTGTTCAATTAGCTTTGTAGAGATCTAGTAGAGTGCTGTATGAATGGGTAAATGAGGACTCAGGTTGTAATGTAAAGTGCTTTGAGTTTCTCGATAAGATAGAAAGGTGCTATATAAGTACAGTCCATTTACACACACACACACATTTTGGAATGGGTTTTGTCTCACAATCCTCTCCAGGGTACAGTTATCCCTATTGTTTGGACACTTTTTTCTACTACATTGTCTTTTGGACAACTGTCAAATCAGCAGTCTTCTCCATGATTGTGTAGCCTACAGAACTAGACTGAGAGACTATTTAAAGACCTTTGCAAGTGTTTTGAGTTAATTAGCTGATTAGAGTGTGGCACCAGGTGTCTTCAATATTGAAACTTTTAATATTTTTTTTCTTTTCTGAGATACTGAATTTGGGGTTTTCGTTAGTTGTTATAATCATCAACATTAAAAGAAATAAACATTTGAAATATATCAGTCTGTGTGTAATGAATGAATATAATATACAAGTTTCACTTTTTGAATGAAATTACTGAAATAAATTAACTTTTTCATGATATTCTAATTTTATGACCAGAACCTGTATATGCACTCCTCTTATTCTGGTCCTAACTCTAGTTACTGGTTGGCAGCTACATGTCTCATTCATGTTATGAGTTCTGTTTGGAGGAAAAATGTTGCCTGCTGTGACTGAAAATCAACACGTTAAAGATGAAGACTAAAAAAAACTTTCAATGAGCTGAAAAATGTTGAAATAAACAATTCTTCATTGTTCACACTGAAGTAATGTGTAACCTTTTTCACGATATTCTAATTTTATGACCAGCACCTGTATATGTCTAATCTTATTCAGGAGAGGGAGGTTATGACTTCTGGTTTTTGTAACTTTTATACTTAACAAAATATTTAAAATATTAAGTTTTCCCTTATAAAATGTATTGAGAGCTATTTAATTGTTTCAAAACATTTTCAAATCTAGTTCAGCACAATTCTGCATCAATCCTGCTGTGAATGCATATTCTGGCACTTCTAACACAAATTCTGCTACTGCTAATTCCACGAAGGGTTTATCTACTAATGCTTCTAGTCTTTTGCTAGTTTTGGCTTTTAGCTAGCATTTTGCTCCCTTTGCCTAACATTTAGCTAATTTTAGCTAGTGTTTTGTTTCTTTTAGCTAGCTCTTTGCTATTTTTAACTTCCATTCTACCTTTTTCTTGCTACCACTCTACTAATTTTAGGTTTTAACATCTTTTCTGTTTCTTTTAGTATCTGTTCTCTTTGTTTAAACTTGAACAACAGTTTCAGTTTATTCAGCAAATATTAGCACTCAGAATTCAAAGTGCATTCTTCAGAAAATACACTTCCTCTAATCTAAAACCCAAAAAACATTACCAAATGCAAATTTGTCAATAAAACAAATAAGCCTGTGTAGACCTATAAAAATTAAAAAGTCTATGTAATAAAATAGACATTTTTTGCACGTAACAAACTCACTTCAGTGGTACTTTACCTCATGGTCAACATGAAGAAATATCTTCAGTATTTTTTCAACAACAAAAAGAAGATAAAATCCTCCAAATATCCCCATTGCATTAGCTACATAGTTATCTTGTTTAGGATCAAATCCCAGAGCCTGTGGATAAACAGGAGTAGGTTAGTAGAATATAAAATCACTCTTTTTCCTGGCTTAACAATTTCAGTCTTCTACAAAAAAAATTTAAGCATTTTCCAAAGTCTGTATTTTTGATATGATAAAAAGTTACACTGCATTAACACAAAACTTCACTTTCCTCTGGTATGAGCTGAAGTGCAGCGTTGGAGAAGAGTGTCCCAATGGCCAGGCCGATGAAGTAGGTCAGCACTTTGGGGAAATATGGCTTCTTGGTGAGCGGGATCAACAGGAGACCGAGCAGAGATGCCAGGTTGATTACTGTGACAGCCAAAAAGCCATAACCCCACACTGTCAGGATAGAAAAGATCAATAAACAAATACTAAAATTAACAATTTGAGGCAAAAGCTTTTCCATTGAATTTTCTTTAGCCTATTTAATGTATTGAATACATACAAGAATTAAAGCCTTTAAATGGGAGACATTGGAATTCGTTCTAAACAAAAACAAAATGCAGAAGCTTTTCTTTGTAGATAAAAAACGAGTCACAGCAGAAGTTTTTACTGGAGGACTGTTCACCATGGTTACGTGAGGCTTCACCTCTCTGAGCTGAAACTCTGAGGCTTTGCTTGGGTTCAGGCTGCATTAAAATTCCCCAACACTAAACCCACTCAAACAGGCCAACAAGAAGCTGGAAACAGTCAGCACACATCACTCCTGCCCAAAAAGCTCAAATCACAGCGACAAAGCCTTTTGTACCCAGCTTTCAAACAGCAGCTGAGTAATTATTAAAGATATAGGTAAAAAAATAAAAAATTCTGCAAATACTTTTTTACTTGAAACTGCACATTGCTGAAAGTATGTGTTATGGATGAAGCCCATCTTCTACCATATCAAATTTTAGCTCAATATCTGTAAAACTGTTGGTTTATTTTGGTCTTCAAAGCAGGCATAGAGCCTGTTAAGAGCATCAGACAGTGATGGATTCCTGGGGCACTGTGCACCCCTGCTTTAATAATCTGTGGTGCACTTAATGCCCTTCCACATGCTTGTGAGGAGAAATGTCCTTGGATCTTCTGTGCGTATGTGGCTTTGGATTTCTTAATCCCAGCAGCCAACTGTTTCCTTGCCCTCCCCAGTTCCTGTGAGTCGCCAGACCTGAAGACAGTATCCCTGGCTTTCAGCAAAGTATGGACCTCTGTGTTCAGCCAGGGTTTCTGGTTCGGATAGCACTTCACAGTCCTGGTGGTGGTGACATCAACACACTTGCTGATGTATCCGAGGACAGCAGATGTGTATTCCTCCAGATCCAGTTCTCCCTCATTTACAGCGGCCTCCCTGAAGACCTGCCAGTCAGTGTGTGCAAAACAGTCCTGCAGTATAGAGTCGCTGTTGTTGGGCCACATGGTGATGGTTTTCAGTGCGAGTCTGGAACGTCTCAGCAGGGAGAGGTAGACAGGGGCCAAAAAGATGGAGATGTGGTCAGAGAGGCCAAGGTGGGGCCAGCGTGCAGCTTTATATGCATCTCATATGTTAGTATAAACCCGGTCTAGTGTAAGGCTATTCAACAAAAGTGCTCGGGGGACCACTGTTTCTGAAAGCCAGCAGCTCAGGGGCCAGACATCCAGCAATTAAAATCATTATGTAAATAAACCAAGTTTTACAATGATCTGTTACCTTTTAAATTTGTTTGTTTTATTGCATTGAATAATAAATGCAATAAACAGAACCCAAACCTCAAACTCAGAACACCCCCCCACACACAAACATTTATGACTAGCATAGAAGTCCAACAACAGAACACTGCTCGAGTTCAGATCACAGAGGCCCCTCCAGGTCACACTGTAATCTTCCACATGGTCGTTGAAGTCCCCCAGCAGAATAAAGGAGCCCTCAGCTGGTGTACCTTCCAGCACCCCTGCCAAGGACTCAAAGAAGGCTTGAACTGCCATTCGGCACGTAGGCACAAACAACAGCCAGAGCCCATCCCCACCCCACCCGAAGGCGAAGGGAAGCCACCCTCTCATCTACCGGGGTAAACTCCAACACATAGGCACCAAGTTTGGGGGCTATAGACCCACACCAGCTTGATGCCTCTCACCATAGGCAACTCCAGAGTAGAATAAGGTCCAGCCCCTCTCAAGGAGATCGGTTCCAGAGCTCATGTTGTGTGTTGAGGTGAGCTCAACTGTATCTAGTTGGTACTTCTCAACCTCACGCACAAGCTTAGGCTCCTTCCCTGCCAGAGAGGTCATGTTCCATGTCCCAAGAGCCAGCTTTGGTAAGCCAAGGTCAGAGTGCCAAGGTCCCTGCTTTCGGCCACTGCCAATGACATCATGCACCCAACTTTTATGGCCCTTCCTGCAGGTGGTGGGTCCACAGAAAGGCAAACCCATGCTGCGCCTTTGGGCTGAGCTCGACCGGGCCCCATGGGTAGTGACCCGATCACCAGGCGCTCACCAATGAGCCCCTTCTACAGGCCTGGGTCCAGGGTGGGGCCCCAGTAACCCACATCCGGGCAAGGGACACTGAGTTCTTTGTTTTTTCCTGTACATATAAGTCTTCTGATTTGCTCTTTGTCTGGCCTGTCACCTAGGACCAATCTGCCTTGGGAGACCCTACCAGTGGCAATTATAATTGCCCCCAACAGCATACCTCCTGGGATCAAACAAACTCCTCCACCACAATAAGGTGGCGATGCAAGGAGGAGTTGTAAAAACATTTTAAACGTTACTGCAGTACTAATACACTGATAAATAAGATATTGAGGAGTTAATTTAACGGAAATCTCACATTATTGTCCCGACAGGTGAAAGGTGGGCAATAATGTTTTTGCCTATGTCTGTGTGTTAGTTTGTCTATCTTGTGAACCTCTGGACAAATTTGAACCAAACATTCAGGAGGTAATCAGTTGATGTGTGTCTGAAACTGGTTAACTTTAGGAGTCAACATAATTCATGCCAAGATGGCCGCATGCATTATAGCTGCAGTTTCTCAGGCCCCTGGTGGAAAATCCTTTTTTTTTTTTTGTTCTGAAATCGACTCTGAGCTTGACGCTGCTCACTTTAAGTGTGTGAATTACAGCCGAACTGAGCTTAGTACCATAAGAGAAGGTTTGGCTTCGAAAACAGCAGCGATGGACCACAGTCTAAAAGCTACACTCAAAAGATTGCAGTTCCTATGGACATCAGCAGGGGCGGATGTGGCTGAGTGGTTAGAGCAGTCGTCCTCCAATGCAAAAGTTGGGGATTCGAATCCACCAGCAGTCACATGTCGAAGTGTCTCAGGGCAAGACACTGAACCCCTCAATGCCTCCGATGTGTGTTCCATTGGTGTATGAATGTCATCTCAAAGCACTGATTAGTCTCTTTAGAATGATTTGTTCAATTAGCTTTGTAGAGATCTAGTAGAGTGCTGTATGAATGGGTAAATGAGGGCACAGATTGTAGTGTGAAGTGCTTTGAGTATATGGATAAGATGGAAAGGCGCTATATAGGTACAGTCCTTTTACCATTTATCAGCATCAGCGTGGAGGCAGCAGCGCTTTAAGGGAAAAAGAAAGTGCTGCACGTGGACAAAGTATAGAGGTTGAACGACTACATAATTTTTAAACTCGACATTAACATAATAAAACTCGAGTAGAACTCAAGTACTTGATGACATCATAGGATCTAAAGATACATAAATAAATAAATAAAACCGCAAAAAAGGTAATTATTTACAAAAAAAAGACCAACAAAACACTGGGAGCGTATATTATGCTCCTACCATTTATCATACTGCAAATAAGTCACAGGAAAAACTAAACTATTAGTTATTATTATTAAGCTACAAAAGTGAAAGAAACTTGCAGCACGTCAAAAATGAAACTAAAAACAGTGGGACTGTCGACCACCTCGCACCACCGCCCTCAGTGTTGCGCATTAGGTTTAGTTTTAGAGATTAATATGTTTATAGGTTTTTTAATAGGTTTAGAGATTAATATATTTATAGATTTTTTATAGGTTTAGAGATTAGTATGTTTATAGTTTTTTTTATTATTATAGGTTTAGAGATTAATATTTTTTGCTTTTTGTTTGTGAAACGATGTCAGAGGAAGCTGGTTCTGGTTCGGTCGATAGGACCTGGTGTTACACCATATTCTGTGACCTGCACCAGTGCATGCAACACCGCCTCCTACGGTCACAATATACGGTGGGCACAAAATATGGTGCAACACTGGTTTGCAAGAGCTCCAAACAGTCAGGCAGTTGATTCATTTTCTGTTTCCTTACGGTAGTTGGACCGGAAGGTTCATCTTTAGTGAAATATTTCCATACTATTGATGTATTTCTACCTGTTTGCCAAGACTGGGCCTGCTCTGCTCCATCTGTCTGCTTGAAGGAATCCATTTTGTAACCCGCGCCAGTGCGGATCACGTGACACGTGATGCAATGACGTAATGGTGATGTAATACTCGACGTGAAATTAAAAAACTCGATAGATGTTATAGGAATCGATGTGTAGATTACTCAAGTAGTCTGTTAAAGCCCTACCGAAGTATTAGAGAGACTGAAAGCTAATGCTAACAGACCACCAATTCCATCTCTGTTCCTGGCCTGATGATTGTAATCACGTAAACCTGAAAGACACTCTGCCAAGATTTATGAGCATGTCACCATACCAACACTGGGAAATAACACAGTAGACCAGGGCTATTCAGCTGGCAGCCCGTGGGCCACTTCTGGCCTGTGGGTGACTTCAGTCTGGCCCACCAATGAGTTCATTCACGAACACCATGTTCGAACATAAGGGTGTCCATAAGTACACTCGACACCAGGATGCCCTAGGTCGTAGATCGATGATTGACTTCTTAGTAGTACTATCTGATTTGTGGCTGCTTGTTTTGGACACTCGGGTGAAGAGAGGATCTGAGCTGTCAACTGATCACCACCTGGTAGTGAGTTGGATCAAATGGTGGGCGAAGATGCCGGACAGATCCTGTAGACCTAAACATGTAGTGAGGGTTTGCTGGGAACACCTGGCAGAAGAACCCATCAGAGAGATCTTCAACTTGCACCTCCAGGAAAGCTTTAACCACATCCCAGCTGAGGTTGGGGACATTGCATCTGAGTGGGCCATGTTCCACACCTCACTTGTTGAGGTAGCCGTCTTGAACTGTGGCCGCAAGGTTGTCGATGCTTCTTGTGGTGGCCATCCACAAACTCGGTGGTGGACACCCCGGGTTAGGGAGGCTGTTAAGCTGAAGAAGGATGGCTATCAGGCCTTGCTGATAAAGTGATGCTTTCCCCTCCTCAGTCACCTGATGGTTCGCCAGAATTTCCTTGGAGCTGACTGAGAGTCTCTATCCAAGGCCTCACCAAACTTCTCCCACATCTGAGCTTTTGCCTCAGCAACAGCCAAGGCCACAGACTGCTTGGTCCTCTGGTACTCCTCAGCTGCCTCTGGATTTCCACACTGTGTTCAGTGAAGGTGGGGTGCTATTGACCTCAACCAGTGATGTTATCGGGAGGTGGAATGAATACTTCTCAGACCTTCTCAATCTCACCAGTGCATCTTCCATGGAGGAAGATGAGTCTGACAACTTTGGGGCTGGTCCATCCATAACCGTGGCTGAGGTCGCCAAGGTAGTTAAAAAACTCAGAGGTGGCAGGGCTCCAGGAGTGGATGAGATTCACCCTGATTTTCTTAAGGCTCTGGATGATGTGGGGCTGTCTTGGATGAAACACCTTTGCAACATTGCGTGGACATATGGGGCAGTGCCGTTGGATTGGCAGACTGGGGTGGTGGTTCCCCTCTTCAAAACAGGGGACCGGAGGGTGTGTTCCAATTATAGGGGCATTGCTCTCCATAGCTCTAGTAAGGTCTATTCAGGGGTATTGGAGAAGCGAGTCTGATCGTTGGTCGAACCTCAGATCCAGAAGGAAGAATGTGGGTTTCATCCTGGCTGTGGAACACTGGATCAGCTCTTTACCCTCACTAGGGTCCTTGAGGGTTCATGGGAGTTTGTCCATCCAGTCTACATGTGTTTTGTGGACATGCAGAAGGCATTTCACTGTGTTCCTCAGGGTACACTGTGGGTGATGCTCCGTGAGTATGGGATTGAGGGCTGTTGTTACGGGCTGTTCAGTCCTTATACAAGTGGTGAGAGAGTTTGGTTCACATTGCTGGTAGTAAATCAGACCCCTTCAGGATTTGGAGTTGGACTCCGCCAGGGCTGCCCATTGTCACAGATTCTGCTCATCATTTTTATGGACAGAATTTCTCGGTACAGCCAGTGGGTGGAGGGTTTCTGGTTCAGTGGCCTCAGGTTCCATCTCTGCTCTTTGCAGATGATGTGGTCCTGTTGGCATCATCGTGCTGTGATCTTCAGCTCTCACTGGAGCGCTTCGCAGCCGAGTGTGAAGCGGCTGGGATGAGAATCAGCACCTCCAAATCTGAGGCCATGGTTCTCAACAGGAAACGGGTGGATTGCTCTCTTCAGGACGAGGGTGAGGTTCTGCCTGAAGTAGAGGAGTTCAAGTATCTCTGGGTTTTGTTCACGAGTGAGAGAAGTATGGAGCGTGAGATTGACAGATGGATTGGTGCAGTGTCTGCAGTATTGTGGACTCTGTACCTCCCTGGGCGCCTCGCTAGGGAGGTGCTTCGGGCATATCCGACTGGAAGGAGACCCCGGGGAAGACCCAGGACACACTGGAGAGACTTTGCCTTTCCATTGGCCTGGGAATGCCTTGGAATCCTCCCAGAAGAGCTGTAAGAGGTGGCTGTGGAAAGAGATGTCTGGGCCTCCCTGCTCATGCTGCTGCCCCCGTGACCCGACTTCAGAATAAGCGGAAGATAATGGATGGATGGATGGATGGATGGATGGATGGATGGATGGATGGATGGATGGATGGAT